TAACAGGCAATCCATGTCCCGACGACCGATTTCACTGTGGCAACAACATTTGTATTTCAAATGAGTGGAAATGCGACGGAACGTATGACTGTCAAGAAACTCACGCTGACGAAGTCGGTTGTGGTAAGTCATATTTTTCATTTGGCACTTGCGTTCAAAAAATGGAACGGGATTGAGATGTGTAACATCCCAGTCTCCGTTGCAGTCGGCCCAAGCGAGTTCAGCAACAACAAATTGGATTGTAAAAACACGCTCACCATTTTATTCAGATAAGACCATTATGTACCTTGTACATAAATAGGAAGTAATTTTTATCTAATCACGCCCCTTAAAATTTGTCAAAACACATTTCACAGACTCAATGTATTATTGTCCTCATGAGGCAACACAAGTATGTGTGTGTGTGTGTGACCTAACAATCTGATTGGTTGAAACTGCATCAGCTGAGGTCAGTAGAGAATATCCGCCAATGAAAATCGCATGAACTGACACACCGAAGTGCTGTCATGGGTGACGAAGTTGTACAGTAGGTCAAATGCTTCGAATACTTTACAAATGCTTAGGCAACAGTATGTTTATCGAATCCAGTGTTCGATATATAAATGACGATTTAACATTGACATCACTTTTATATATTCCGTGGGGGAAAAACGCATTCAGCACATGAAATGATCGGTTATCAGTGACCGAAATTTAGGTGTTAATCACAGGCACTCGAGGCCAGGATATTATTTTTTAAACATTGATTTTTGTTTTAGCACTCATGACTGACGTTATTTAAACGAAATATCAGCAGAATTCAAGTTTATGTGCCGGTTGACAAATCCGAGGTCCACGGTCATTAAAAATACACAAGGCAAGCAACTCCAGATTTTAAAAAATCGACCCCTCGCTTGGAAACTGGCTCAAAAAAAGTAGTTATGATAAGTTCCTTGTAAAACAATATGTATCCGTAGGTAGTGTGTATATTTACCTTTTATTTGGTGCATAACATTACAGGCAACGAGAAATTCACAATACGTACACGAGATTAACATCTCAATAACCGGAGATTTTATCGTCCATGTAATTATCTTTGACGGAAGTAACATGCCATTTCAAGGGCGGTCACTCCGACTTTTTGGGAGAGGAGTTCCGGATAGCACTATAACAGTGAACAGGTAAGAAAGGTTCCGATGTCATTACGCGCGTAACTTCAAAATAGATATTTTTATTTCTACAAATACATTTGCGGGGATGGAAAAATAATGGCTGGGCAAAAAAGTCCACATTTGCCAACTCGGATACAATATCATGGTAAGGGATTATACAGAATGCATCAACTTTCAATCAAGCTGGCGGTAATGAGATTTTTTTTTTCAAAAAAAAAATAAGAAAAAAATCACGCAGATAATGAAATATTACTTTGACATTATATTCAAGGTCATGGATAAACCCTTAAATAACATCTTCTGATAACCAAAAAGACCTTGGGTCATGATATTTGGTCAGGAAGTCCATTGTATGGACGTTTGCCAAAACATACAGTACCTGTAGCAATACAAGCCCTTTGGGCCTCTTGGTTAATAAGTAATATGTATTTCTTTTCAAATATTCTCAATAACTTGACAAAAATCACTATGGAAAAAATCATTTAATTTCCAATTTCTAAGTTAATATATTTCCCCCACGATATTTTTCATAAATTGCGCCCTTTTTTCATTATCTGCATGATTTTTTTCTATTTTTTTTTTGAAAAAAAATTCTCATTACCGCCAGCTTGATTGAAAGTTGATGCATTCTGTATAATCCCTTACCATGATATTGTATCCGAGTTGGCAAATGTGGACGAAATTATTCTTAACTTATATCCGACCACTTCTTGAATATGCATGTGAGGTATGGGGCAACTGTAGTGAAACAAATTCCCTGTCATTAGAAAAAATCCAATTAGAAGCTGCCAGAATAGTCACAGGTTTACCTATTTACACAAAAATAGATTTTCTATATAGAGAAACAGGATGGTTACCTCTTTCAAAAAGAAGAGAAGCCAGGAAGCTCTCCCTCTTTTACTCGATAGTTAACAACTTGGCACCTGATTTCCTTATTGATTTATTACCTGATATTGTTGGTAACTTAGTCCCCTATAATTTAAGACGAGCCCATTTAATGAGAGATCAACAATTCCGTTTACAAATATCTCATAATTCTTTTTTTCCTTCTGCAACTAATCTTTGGAACAACCTGAACAACGATATTAGAAATTCACCCACTTTAAATTCTTTCAAGCTAAATCTTCAAAAATCTATGTCTGTGAATAGTACTCTCCACAAGCAATTTATTAGTTATGGCTCCAGAAAATTAAATATCATCCACTGTCGTCTCCGAAACCGTGCAAGTCCACTCAATTATGATCTTTTTAGGGCTAATCTTGTAAATTCACCAGAGTGTCAATGTGGGCACCCCTGTGAAGATTCTTATCATCTATTTTTTAATTGTCCTTTATATGCTGATCAACGTAGAGCACTATACCAAGAATTAATATGGTATGACGGTATTGTTAATGTAAATATTCTTTGCAATGGTGACTCTAATATCTCTGTGGATGATAACCTTAGAATGGCCAAATCGGTCCAAACATTCCTAGGAAGGTCAGGAAGATTCACTTAAATTCTCTCTCCTCTCTCTCTCTCTCTCCCCCCCCCCCCCCCCCCCCTTTTTTTTTTTTTTTTTTTCTCTCTCTCCCATTCTACATCCCTCTTTCTATTTCTCTTTCCCTATGCCATACCCTGTTCTTATTTCTCTGTCTCTTTCTTTATTCTTTGTCCACTTATACATTTTACATAAAAATGACTATTATAATAGTTTCATGTCACCACGTGACCATATTTATGTAAATGTTTATGTGTATGTTGTAGGAGAAGTCATTCATAAGTTGGTAAAACTTACTGACTAATCCTATTGTCAATGTCATTGTCAATAAAATATGTTTAAACTAAAAAAAAAACGTACTTAAATCAGAACAAGGTATGCAACAACGGAACCAACATGTAATCTAACGAGCATAAAACTGTTTAGATATGCCCTTCAAAGGTGTATCCTGTATTTAAAAACCTAAAGACATTTGTACTTGCATGTATAATGTTTACCTGCGGTACGGCATGTCTTGTTTGGTGTCAACAAATAGACTGTACAGGGATTAAGACAGTGTCATGGCCGCTCTACCGAGCTCTTATCAAAAAGGAAGGATGTTGTCATACCTGTAACTAGTCACACAAAAAGAGAGAAAATCATACTACAATCTACTAAAGATTACTATAAACATGATTCAACCGAATAAATACACAACATCGTGTTAGAGATTTCTTTCACGGACGTTGTCTTTGCCTTCCTGTTTCTTTGCCGACCTAAAGATATCTCCTTTACTTGAAAGCCACCCTGTTTATCATTGAAGAAAGCAAAATAAGGTAATTTACATTACGATGTCGAATGGTGACTGTAGGTTATGTCTGTATTTTTATAAGAAGTTGTTCCCCTTTATGAAATTCTTTGATAGATCTTTTAAATGAAGCACACTAAAACTTTGTACAATAAACACACAAATGATTAGCACCTCTCAGTATGAATTTACAGGTAGACAGAGTATAGCAAAATAAGGAATCAAAATTCATTACATTCCATCAGTATTGCTAATGGAATACACCCTGATGCCTAGGACGAAGTTGATGAAAGAAGTATCAAAAACAGATAAAGAGGTTGATTTCGCCCCATATTTTAAAATTAAATATAAATCCATTATAAAACATACTAAGAACATTTATCAGTGACAATGCCGTTTGGAGTAAGGCAGTGGATGACAAAATGAATCACAAAATCTACAATGCGAACATTGTCTCATGTAAAAGGTGTCTAAATGATTTACGTGACACTTGCTGACAGGTAGAAACATCCATTGTTTTAAAATCTTGATAAATGACCTTATTCAGTCGTGTTGTAATTTTGGAAAAATATGACGATCTTTCTGTTCCAGTCACTGTCTTCTGAAGGATGTATGTAACATCATGAGTTCCTTGTCAACCATCATTACTTTTTTTCTGGATCCAAGTCCAGATGGTGTCAACGTTTGTGCGAATTGAATTTCTTCCTTGTCATCCTGACATCGTTGTTGTTGTTATGGTTTAAGATTGTTCTAACAGTAGAGAAAAGTTGGCATAAACATTTTTTGAGATTATAAAGAATAAGTGCTACTCTTTCCGGTATATAGCAACGTCACTTCCGGCACCAGTAATCACCATATTGGCATATTTGCTAAAACAACATCAATACTTTAATGACCTTGAAGCCTTGACCATGATAGATAAAAAACGACTAGAACGTTGCTTTAGAGTGTTCAAACTTGACAAAGTTCTTAATTTTAACAATGCTAATTAATGTTACCAGCAAGGTGCATATTGTTATGGAAATTTATTCGTTAAAACACTCCTATAGTCTGATTAAGTCACTTTTTCCACTATGAAGGACAATTGTTTTTAGAAGTTTGAAATATACAGGAAAAACCTGAAGGTTAACAATGACAAACACTTAAAAACTTACCGACAAGGACGGGTAAAATATCTGAAAATTGACAACCCAGCGCAGTTTACATGATTCCCATTATTTTGTTGTTGTCGTGTAATAACAATTTTTGGTATATTGCTTGTTATTCTGATTTGATCACCTTTAATGAATTTAATTTTACACCTGTTTCTATGGACGATACCACATACGGAATAAAACAATGTTATTTTAAGACACGACAACCACTGATCTAGAACCCGTTTTGCTGAATAATAACTAAAACAAAATTATCCGGACAGCTCTATTTGATTCATTTTCTAAAATTTTCAAAATATTTAAAAAAAAATTTAGATAACAAATTTATATCTTATTTGACCGAAAGTTAACAATATGTGTAGTGTCGGATTGTTTACAATGACATATGTTCTATTTATATACAGCGATAAACGGACCGCACATATGACTTCCACGGCTGTACGGGGTGAGTACTGAATAGGTCGTCAGACTCAAAAAACAACTTTATAAACATTTAAAATTGGTTGTTGATATAAGTTAAAGTTGATATATTCTACTATATCAGTGAATCTTTCTAGCAAACATTTATGAATCTTGTTTTGAGACATTTTGTCATCTTCCTGGTTGCCTTTCACCTACATACCATCCTTATGTGTGTGTGTGTGCGTTTCATTGAGACGCATTTTCTGTTTACTCTACTAATAAACCTGATTTTGGTGAAAACCATCATTCTCTCTATCAAAACGAGCCAGTAAATTCATTATAGCAATTTTTAAAAGAGGTTTTCGCTGAAACAATATGCATTTATTCACCAAATACTGGAGCATTCTATACCCAATTTGTTGTTTAACACTCAACATAAACATGTGTAGTGTCATTAATGAATTAAAAGTATTTTTTCAAGTTGTTAAGGATATTCTGGATGACCTCTAGTTTGCTTACCTATAGAGACACTGTCTTTCCGATAATGAATGGTTCATGCACTCATAATACTTTTATCTAATTAATTCTAGATTGTCGTTTAATGTTCCATCTATTTTAAAAACATATTTCTTCTTTAGAAGAAATGATCTTTTGTTGAAATTCATCAACGTTACGGTTTTGAATTTTATTATATGTGCACAACCACCACCCGCCCTCCCCAATATTTTGACACCGATTGCAGTGATACCGATTACATTTGTATCCACCTCACTTGCAGCAGGTTATGTCCCCAACGTTGCTACCAAATCTTAGATATGCGCAACAGGTGTGTGGCAATTTCTGACACAATTAAATTTCTTAATTGGCTATGTTCACTTGTGCTGTTTCTGTGTAATCGTAGCCGTGTGAATCTTTTTTGGCTTGTTTTGTATAATATAAAATATCATTCTTTATGCTCTGACTACAGAAAACAGACACACTTTGTTATAGAGATTACGTACCATGTAAGATGAAATATGAATGACAATATTCTTTGGAGTCATTAATCAAATTTACAAAATATCTAACAAAACCAAAGAAAATACATTCTTTGTTGATTTTTGTTCAGAAAAAAATAGAGCAAACAAGCCATTATAAATATCTTATCAAAATAACATTTAACCATTTGAAATGATTGCTTTAAACCGTATAAAATCATCATTCATGTTGTAAACAAAGGTGAATATGTGTTTATATATTTATATTCAGATCACGTAAACACGTTTTGCTTATTTGAATATTATTCATTGTGGAAACAGAGAGCATTGAGATTGAAATGATTCCTATCAATATTATCTTTCAAGAAGGGTTAAGAAATCCTGTGAATTCTGTACATAGATTTTAACCCTAATGAAATCTTTTTTTTTTTTTTTTTTTTGTTTGTTTTTGTTTTTGTTTTAACTTTATTTCCATTTAATTTTAAACAGGTTAATATTGTACCAGGAAGTTTAGATATGGGATTTCCATTAACGTAACACCATTTATTTTCATTTTTTATTTTGTATTTGGTGGATAACTTGTGAGCTGTGATTGCTTTTCCATCCATATAACGTAAAATCTATAAAATAAAGGTCATGACGGGGTCATAATGTGTCACCAATTGAAATGTGTGTTCCATGACTTGACTAAACTTGACTAAAAACCGGAAAGAATTCTTAATAATGTTATGAATTAGTCATTACCAGGTTTTCATCAGGATACCATATTTCCTTGTTGCGATGCTCGTTGCCTGGTGTTTTCATATTATCAACACAATCAAAACACGTAGTATTACTCTCCTTGAACTGATGTAGAGTTTTGTGTGTTAAACTTTCTGTCGGTGATGTTTTCTTCCTTTCATTAATCAGTATACCCAATTACTCTTCGTTCAAATACAAACAACGCATGCTTAGTGGCAAAGTATAACTTTAAATTTAGTATTTACAAGTTTTTTTCCCATTAATATCCCAGGTCTGGGAAAATACCGTAAAAAGACTTCCGCATGACGAGGTGATGAACTGAAGAAAACAAGAAATATGTCGGAAGAAACCAGCTCTATCACCAAGTTGTGTGAATTAATGGAGAGTCTTAAAACTCAGATTGAAATCGTGGATAATGAACTGTGTTACAGTGATCACCGAAACAAACCTGATTTTCGAGAAAAATTATCAGCAAAATCGGATAAGATAGAATTGGTGAAAAGTAATCTGGATCGACTTCTCTTAAAAGTCACAGACGCAACTGTCAGGAGACCGAAAGGAAGAGGCAAGTTTTCATGTCATTTGTTCATACTTTTCTCGCATGTATGTAAGATAGAATAACGGTCCAACTACCAGCAATGCTTAATTATATAAGAATGATTAATTTGCATTTTGGAGAATGACGTCAATTTCTGAGTATTTTTGTCTATGAAGATGTTTCTGTGATAAAAGAACATATCGTTTCATTTTAATGAATATGGTTGATTTCCCTGTCACAAAAATGTGGCTAAACAGCTGAATTATCTTGGATGTTACAAATATCAGGTATATTTTCCGTAAAATGTTGTTTTTGTTACAGAATGTACCTCAACAAACGATGATAGTGCCTACCATTCAACGTCTTCAGGTATGAAGTTATTTATATATCAAAATCATACATACATACATTCACACACAAACGCACATACATACATACATACATACATACATACATACATACATACATACATACATACATACATACATACATACATACATACATTCACACACATACGCACATACATACATATATACATACATACATAAACACAAACACACATACAGACATACATACACACACACACACACACACACACACACACACACACACACATTAACACACACATACAAACATTACAAAACATACATACATACATACATACATACATACATACAAATACACACACACATCACACACACACAAACACACATATATTTACATACATACATACAAATGTTACATACATACATACATACATACATACATACATACACACACACAAACACACATCCACACACACATCCACACACACACACACACACCCTCACACACACACACACACCTCTACATACATACATACATACATACATACATACATACACACACACACACCCTCACACACACACACACACAAACACACAAACACACATACATCACACACACACACAACAATCTCACACACACACACACCAATCACACACACACACACACACACACACACACACACACACACACACACACACACAAACATACATACATACATACATACATACATACATACATACATACATACATACATACATACATACATACACACACACACACACACACACACACACACACACACACACACACATACATATATACATACATACATACATACGTGTATTTATGGGTTGTAATTAACATATATCCGTTTCTGTGTTTCAGAGAGAAGACACGCTTTATATGTTGAAGAAAATGATTTGCCAGCCACGGGTAATATAATTAACTTATGTTTATATATATATGACGTTTGATATTATTTGAAGTTATTATTCTGAAAATACCGAACTACTCAAGCGTTGAAGTCTATTGAACTTGTTCTTTTTTTTTTTTTAAATCTGAAGACAGGAGTCCATTTGATGTGGTTACCAACAGTTGAATGACTGGAAAAATCTATTTGGTTGTAGTTTGTGTAGATCAACGGATATTTTAACACGGAAGTTACTCCAGTGGTATGCAGATGCCCTTATTGCGGCCTAGATACAGGGCTTTTAAGATAATAATTTTTACTAGCTCAAAGGTTTTGTAGTTTGTAATATTACAGCTTCTACATTGTGTTTTGTATCTGTAACACCTCATGCCTTCACAGATTTATAATGACCTCTTTGAACTGTTTTTGATTGTAATGAGGGGAAGACTCCGAATATACCAGGTAATTAATCAATACACTGTAGATAATTCAATCCTTCACGAAGCAAGCATTTCCAATCGCCATTTTTTAATTATCATTACGTAGCATCGAAATAGACGTCAACTGATATCGTCATGCTTGATTGGCCAATGCGGCTGTGTGAGAAATAAAAAGATATCAAAAAGACGTCATATTGTTACGTCACGTTTGATTGGCCAATGCGGCGGTGTAAGAAATAACCAACCGTTGGTATACGCCGCGGACAAGCCTCTACTTCTAAAGTGATTTACGACACGACATGCCAGACTAGTTTACAACAGCGTGTCACAAAGCGGATTTTAATACACGTTAAATTTGTTTCAGCTCAACACTGCACGAAATGCCTACAACAGATCAAATCAGCAGTGCAAGTATCGGAACTACCCATCAGAATTTCAAAAGAAGAGATGATTCGTGAGAATAATGACATCTAACTGCAACAGCGATAAACAGTTTTTACCCCACAGCCCGAAAGGGTCAAAAACTACATCACCGGTCATCACCATTTTCACTGGGGATGTTTGGCCTACGGACCTACACAACCCATTCTTGATATAACTTTCCACTCACTCCAACCACACATTTCCAACTTTATAATAAGGCTGTGGGGTATTGCTGAATACTTGTACAGAACTTGTAATCATTCAGTGCTAAACTGAAATATCTGAGCGAAACCGGAAGTGCTATTTAAACATCACAAACTAACACTGAAAGAACATATAAGCGATTTGAAATATATATGTACTTATATTGTCTAGCAAACATGGGAATATTGATGAAGTTATACATCACCAAAATGTAACATGACATATTAACGTTCTCATCATGTTCAACAAAATATAGTGATGTAATATATATTGTTAAACTTGTCAACTTTTCATCTTTTTAATCTATAGAAAGTGTGTACTGTGTAGAGAATCCATCAAACATTGTTGTCTTCGAAAGAGTTGCCAGTGCTTTATAAGCATGGTGACTCATATCTTGTTATGATTTTGATCATGAATCTTGGCACTGCCGTGAAATCAAGACAAATCGCGATGATAGAGTAACGAAGAAAGCTTTTACTAATCTCACTTCAATTTACTGAGTCGTGATTACAGAAAGTATCATTGTCACAGATATGGATTTAACTAAGGTGACCGGGGTTCAATTCCCCGATTGGAAATTAAAGGATGGTGTCATTTGATGGCTCCTGTGGGGTTTCCTCCAGCTTGTCCTGGACCCAACCTCAGTAACAACCTTTGCGCTTTCCTGTCTTGTCCAAAAAAAGTGATTAATGTGTTTTACAGTTGTTGTAAAATAAATAAATTCCAAAGTTATGATTAGATTATTGTTTTTCATGCCAGGTATTCGTAACTACCACCATTCTTTTTAAAGGCTTTAGGCGACAATAAAGTCATAAAAAAACAAGACGTATCTATGAAATCACAATACCCCAACAAAATTCTGAGGTGGGACATTAAAACTGTACTGTGTAGGGCATGTACTAATTGCATACACTCTTTGTGAAACACTTGTCTTCAGTGTGGTAAAGATTTTTTTAAACTTTCAAATGTAGGTCAAAAGTCACGGTTAAGGTCAAAGGGTAAAAAATTTTGGTACCACCGGAAGATCTTGTCACCAGAAACACACATGCCAAATATGAAATATACGGTGTAATAGTTATGGGCAGGTTTAAAGTTGGCAAAATAAAAACAGACGGCACAGAAAAACTATGCCCCGGATCCGCAAAAAAAAAAAGAAAAAAATCGATGACCTCACGACAGCATTATAGTATATCTTTCACATGGTAGAACAGGCCAGTTAAATCACGTTTATAAGTAATGTACATATTTGTGGTGTATATATATATATATATGAAATGTACAGAATATATCATAAATGTAAATTAATTATTTGTATATAATCAATCGTTTGGTACATGTGTAGGTGTTCAGAGGACAGCAATATCCTATTTCTGAGTCTTTTTGTGCACTGTATGTATGAATGTATGTATGTATGTATGTATGTATGTATGTATGTATGTAGAAGATGATATATAACTAGCTTATATGGGTTATAAACAAACTGCAATTGTAGAAACATTTAAAATCATCTAATTTTCAACATTAGAAATGCTTTATGTCGGTATTTGATAGAAAAATGTTGCCATGTCATCTAAGACTTTGTTATCAAGGAATTATCAGACATGCTGTTGATAAATAATCTTTTATCAGGAAAATGAAGTGTTGATTTTACCTCTGCCCAGAGTTGGTGTACGTGACAGCGGAAGAGATAGAGCTGGTATCTTATTGATTTGTTTATTTTCGTATCTAAACAGCCAATGATTACTCTGTCGAAAATTTAAGGTTATAGGTCGTCCTGATTTACAACACGGAAGTAAGCAAATTCCATACCGGATTTTCCAAATATTGAAAACATATGTAATTCTATAAATAAAATACCTAACGTTTTGATATCGACAGGTGTCATTTGTTATAAGGAAACTCCATAATTAGTAATTTTTATACTTTTTTTTCTTAACAAGACTTAATCGCTCAAACATCTTTATTGTAACATTGTCATTATGATTATCTTTAGAAAGGAATCCAGAACGATATTAGGAAACAATCAATTAAAGTAAATGCTTTCGAGAAATTTTGCACATATTTCTCTGTAAGTTAGAGAATCCTGGTCTCGTGACTAATCGTGCCAAGAACTTCAACATAAAAAATTGCTTATCTTGTCTGTTTCAAGAAAGGCTGTAGTCAAATTCGAAATTCGATACGAGAAAAAGTAAATCACACCTTCTTTAAATTCTGACATTTTGAAGTTTAGTTCGAATCACTTTCAAACGTGCGGCTTATTTCAAGAAATTAAAAAAAAACTGCTTTGCTAACTTCCACTGCAATCTTGCAATATTTAATATATATTATTTTTCCCTTAGCTTTTTATGTATATATTATATATATATATATATATATATATATATATATATATATATATATTAATTATCAAAGTTTCTTTTCCGCTGTGATACAACATATATATGTCATTTTGTATAAAACATGTCATACTGTAAAGCCGTTAATTTTTGTCGCGGGGATGATGTTTTCTCTATTTCGCTGTAAATTAACGCGATCGCGAAAATATAATCCGTGAAATAATGAGACACATGTGTAAAGATGTCCTTTTACATCAAGGTCACGAAATTTTTATTCATTACAATATAATTCGATCGTTTGAAAAAGAAATCGCGAAAATAATTTTGACCCGTGAAATTACCAGCTTTACAGTTTTTGTTTTAAAAATATATGTACTTTTAATTATGTGTTAAATCATAACCTAAAAATATTATGTGAATATTTTGTGATTTTTAAAATTCGTTAAGGTTATGACAAATTTTTTTTGTATTTTTTTTTTTTTTTTTTAATAAAATGTTCAGGAAATTTGAGTTGATTTCGTTGTTGATGACAACCATTATACGTCGACGATCTTGCTGTGAACATATCACTCTATTCTACTGAATTTAACAAATTTCAAATAGAGAAAACATAAGAGATGGGTTGTACAAATCAAATAAAAGTGAAAAGCATCTCTGGTTTTAAATTTACAATTAGACACAATATAGCCAAATGCTTATTTAAACTGTATCATACAGCTGATTCGTTGTCCCGGCACACTCGTCTGTCATGTAAGAAGTTTTTTAAACATAGGAAGCGACTGAAGGAAATCAAACTAGTGAACAAAGATGTTAAAATAGATACAGTATGGTGAATTTAGCTGATAATTCGTTTCATGATTTTTACAATGTGATAAGAGTGTGATTGAATATATGGTCGCTGACTCGTCTCAACGAATAATTCTTTAACTCGTCTTATAAACGTTAAAAGGAAGTTTTTGCAGTACTCTATCATTGTATGGTACTAAACTGAAACATTCTAGCAGACGGGTATTCTGTTTACTTATATAGTCTTATATTACTACTAAAACATAGAACACTGTTTAAATAGAGTAAGATAACTGCAATTACTAGATTGATAACTTCTAAAATGTAATCAGATAACTACTTAAACAGAGGCGTATTACTGTTAAAATATAGTCAGATTACTGTTAAAATATAGTCAGATTACTGTTAAAATATAGTCAGATTACTGTTAAAATATAGTCAGATTACTGTTAAAATAGAGTCAGATTACTGTTAAAATAGAGTCAGATTAACTGCTAAAATAGAGTGAGATTTCTGTTAAAATAGAGTCAGATTACTGTTAAAATATAGTGAGATTAGTGATAAAATATAGTCAGATTACTGCTAAAAGAGAGTCAGATTGCTGCTAAAATAGAGTCAGATTGCTGCTAAAATAGAGCCAGATTGCTGCTAAAATACAGTCAGATTACTGTTAAAATATAGTCAGATTACTGCTAAAAGAGAGTCAGATTGCTGCTAAAATAGAGTCAGATTACTGTTAAAATAGAGTCAGATTGCTGCTAAAATAGAGTCAGATTACTGCTAAAATAGAGTCAGATTGCTGCTAAAATAGAGTCAGATTACTGTTAAAATAGAGTCTGTTAAAATAGAGTCAGATTGCTGCTAAAATAGAGTCAGATTACTGTTAAAATAGAGTCAGATTACTGTTTAAATAGAGTCAGATTACTGTTAAAATAGAGTCAGATTACTGTTAAAATAGAGTCAGATTACTGTTAAAATAGAGTCAGATTACTGTTAAAATAGAGTCAGATTACTGTTTAAATAGAGTCAGATTACTGTTAAAATAGAGTCAGATTGCTACTAAAATAGAGTCAGATTACTGTTAAAATAGAGTCAGATTGCTGTTAAAATATAGTCAGATTACTGCTAAAATATAGTCAGATTACTGTTAAAATATAGTCAGATTACTACTAAAATAGAGTCAGATTACTGTTAAAATATAGTCAGATTACTGCTAAAATATAGTCAGATTACTGCTAAAAGAGTCAGATTGCTGCTAAAATAGAGTCAGATTACTGTTAAAATATAGTCAGATTGCTGCTAAAATAGAGTCAGATTGCTGCTAAAATAGAGTCAGATTGCTGCTAAAATAGTCTGATTGCTGCTAAAATAGAGTCAGATTACTGTTAAAATAAAGTCTGATTACTGTTAAAATATAGTCAGATTACTGCTAAAATAGAGTCAGATTACTGTTAAAATATAGTCAGATTACTGCTAAAATAGAGTCAGATTACTGTTAAAATAGAGTCAGATTACTGTTAAAATAGAGTCAGATTACTGTTAAAATAGAGTCAGATTACTGCTAAAATAGAGTCAGATTACTGTTAAAATATAGTGAGATTACTGCTAAAATAGAGTCAGATTACTGTTAAAATATAGTCAGATTACTGCTAAAATAGAGTCAGATTGCTGCTAAAATAGAGTCAGATTACTGTTAAAATAAAGTCTGATTACTGCTAAAAGAGT